CGTTTCTTCTATCAGCCACTAGTGTTTACAAGTTTCGCATGATTCTGATTGTTGTTGCTGTCATTAGTTTACTGCTGCTTCTATCTGATCAAGCAATGCAGTACGCAATATCTGGGGACATGTGAGGATTTTTGGTGTTTTGTGTGCTTTTAGAAGTGTGGGAGGGCCTTGGAGCTATCCAGCCTTTGCTGCCCCAAACCCCAAACCTTGTATGAATGAGGCCCCTCCTCAGCGATAGTGGTCCTCTCGGAATATATAGGGATCCCTAAAACGTGAACCCTCAACCTACCCTAAACAGGCCGCTAAACCCCTTGCGGTGGAAGGGTTTGGGCTTTAGAGCCGCAGAGTTCAGGGCTTCGAGGGCGTCTCGCGAAACTTGAGATCAGAGATTCTTGAAACTACCCAGTATAGAAGCCGAGGTAGCTAGGGACCCCTATGATCTTTACATACTACCCCATATTGTGCAGATAGGACATTCACCAAACTGTCACACAGCAAAGGCTTTGAGCCAGCAATGGCAAGTATATAGCAGGATCAGGGTGGGTAGGCATGCTTCAGAGCCCTAAACCTGAGATGCTCCGCACCCCAGGAACAGTCTAGACTTAGATATATATATATATACATACACATACATATAACTATCTTTTTAAGGGTGAGATGTTACTACAGTTACTTCGAGCACTACAACTATACTACAAGTATGACAAGTACTACAATTGCAACATTGGGTGACCATCATAATGTGGCATCCAACCTTGACGCTCAGTGCTCAAACTGAGAATGAGCTGCCCAGGCATCTACTACTCCACGCCGACCTCTTTCCTGGAGCTGATTCAGACTTTCAAGGCCTGGAAGTTCTTTAGGCCTTGATTCTCTGGGCAACTTATAACCACCTCACTCGGGCTGAGGTTCTGAAATTAGCTCGTGGCCCATGCTCTGCGATTGTCGCAAACACCTTGCCTTTGTTGGTTCGGGCAACCTTCGAGAAGAGACGCTGGCAGATTCTGGCAATCTGCAAATGATTAGATATTGGATCCCAAAGTGATCGTAAGCTTGCTTCTGCTTTTGCTTAAAGGGAAGTGGGGGAGTGACCATAAAGGACTGATTCTTATTGGGGATCCTTCTTGGGATCCACTCTCCCACTCCCTCTTCAACACTACTAAGTAAGTCCAGAGACTTTTCATGTGAGCTATAGTCCAAACTTCACGTATCCCCCTTAATGGCCCCTATGATACTCCCCCATACAAGCCCTTCTATAACCTCCTCTAAGGAGTCTCCACTATAGCTCATGTGGACAACGCTTGAACTGTCTGCTTTGCCAGGCAGCTTGGCCCAGTGAAATAGGGACTGCACTTTGGGTCCTCAGCTGAAAGGATCCACTGGCCCATCACCTAGGAGAGCCCAGCACCAAAATGTCATGACCTAGTTGCACGTTCATGGTGCATATACCCTATAATCCCTATACAACCCATGATAGTAGTTTCCATTTTCTTTTCCGTTATCCTAGAATAACCCCAATATATACCCGATTATGTTATAGTACTTTCCATTCTCTTTTCCATTTCCCAATATACGGCTGACCGCAGCTTGAAGTATTCGATCTTCGGGCCAAGGCTCCTTTTCCGCTAGAGGCTCTGAACAGGCTCCTTTGAAACATCAAGGCTACGCGTTCTGTCTGAGCCATAGCGCCTGAGCCGCTCTGCCGTCACCTGCCGGGTCCCAATTCCCGGGCCTCCTGTTGGTGATCACGCTCTCTCTGGTGGTAAGTGGTACGGTTTTCACCTTCCGCGGGGTGAAGAGAGCAACTCTTGTAGTTGCGAAAATAGAGGACGGCGCGTCTACGCCAACTCAGTGTTTTTCTCCAGCCTACGTTTTTATGGTTACAGGTGGACCTGTCGTACATCGGGCATCAAGGAAAAGTTTTGTAGCTGCATTCAGCTACGGCGGCTGCTTCTGCGGACGCATACTTCGGCGGATGCTGTCACGTCACCAACCACATAGATTGCATGACATCAAGCTCTTTGCGGGGCATTGCCCAAGAAGAAAGCGGGCATTGCCCCAGGACGACGGACTACCTCTGCTGAGTGTGACGGCCTTTGTGAAGCTCCGCACCAGCAAGCCCCAGCAGGCAAACTTTGGTTCGTGACACTACGTCTCTGCAGAAGAAGCCATGGTGAGTGCCTTTGTTCCAGACACGTGGCTTTCCAGGTACGGCTCCACGGTGCAGCTGGGTACAGTCAAAATGCGGACGCGCTTGCTGTGCTAAGGGTGGCGGGCTTCCGCTACGGCCCTCCCAGTTGTGGTCGTTACTGTCCTGTTACCGACGGGGCCAGGCACTGCTGGGAGTGACGGCCTTTGTGACTTGTGAGCAGCGGTGCCTTTGTACAGGCTTCCTGTGTTTGGATTGTAAAAAATAGAGGACAGTAACGCTTCGTGGCAGGGAGCTCGAGGTTGGGAAGATGCCATACTGGCGGGATGTCCGGCCCGGCTCAATGTACAACTCTGCTTCTGTAGGGTGTCGTTGGTGCGGGAGGAGGTAGTCACGCTACAAGAGGGCGCCTCCTCCCCGCATAAAGGCCAGACGTGTTCTTGGGACACGGAGCGGGTCACACCGCTTTGTGCTTTCCGACCGCTTGTCGTCATAGTCCTCAAAGAGGAGTTTCGCCAGCGAGCTATTCTCCTGACGCAAGTGCTAGCTAGGCATTGCGGCAATATACAGAGAGCTGTTGTGCCAAGCTCTGGGGTCTCAGTTCTTTCTTCTTTTATCAATTTGCTGCACGTAGGCAATTCATTTTCCTTCTCTGAGTCTGCAGACAGATCTGTTCTTTTCAGGCGGCGCTGGCTTACGGCACGTCTGCAACTTTCAGGTTATGCGCCCGCCAAGCTCAGAGCACGCTCGAGCTGCGTTCAACAACAATATAACCCCAATAAAGCCTAAGCCCTGAACCTTATATAGCACGATCGTAGTTTCCATTTTCTTCTCCACTAGCCCTAGACCTTAAGCAATGGGATGATACATGCCGTTGCTTGTGCTCAAACTCAAAACCCTAAGCCCTACACCTTAAACCTTAAATTGTAGTTTCCATTTTGTTTTCCATTATCCCAATATTACCCCATTATAGCCCCAACATAACCATGCCTTTACTTGTGCTCAAACTCGAGCCTTTGCAGCTGAGAGCCCGGTAAGTGCTTGCGCATACACCTCCAAGTAACCTGCCTGAGACCGTTGACCCCGCATTTGGGTTTAGGGTTTAGGGTTATCCTACACCCTAAGTCCGAAGCTTTACAGTAAATCCTGAATCCCAAGCCTCACATTCTGCCTCCTAAGCCCGAAATCCTGAGACCTGAAGCCTAAATCGTGAATCCTAAGCCCGAAAATTTGAAGCCTTCACCCCAAACCCTGCCAACTGAAACTTAATTCTTGAATCATACGCCCCATATTTTGAAACCTCTAGCTTATTTCGAAAAATAGCTACTGCCGCAGGCACTCCTAGCAGAAAAGCGAGCCTCCATCAGCAGTCTCAAGTCCAAGTATGAGGCCAGTTTATTCTGCAGGGCTGAGGGATCGGGTCTTTTGTTTAGGGCTTTTTTGGTTTGGGATCCGCATTTTGTCATTTTAGAGTTTATTGCTGAGCTTTTAGGGGGTGCAGGATTGAGGGATTAAGATCGTAGGCACCTTTGTAGCAGTTGGAGTTGCAAAGACTTGAACACTAGTATTTATAGTCTTGTAATTATACTTTTATACCTTGCAGACTTACTATTATTATGTACCACTGCTATTGTTACTATTCCTGTTTACTGAGAGCAGCCAAGCCCTAAACCCGCCATACTGGCAGGTCGGCCTGGAGAAGTTGACGACGACGGAGCAGTCCGTGGAGGGTATGAAGCAGGACTACGTGTACCTGGTGCTAGTGATAGCTATACCTGATAGGTTCCGGATAACTGATAGGTATCCTTAGGGCCCGATATAGCCCAACATAGGCTAGGGCCCAAAGTAGGTATTGCTGAGACTTGCAGCCCCAGGGTATGGTAAGGTATACTAGGGTCAGAGTATCTTGCTAAACACCGACTCTCAAGTACACTTAACTGTTCCTGCTACCGCCCCCCCCCTCCCCCCGGCTTTATCTGAGTAGTGTTTTAGTAGGGCATACTATTGACCCCCAATTGAGAGCAAGATCATATCCTCTTTGGTGTATAAAGGGAATCATCGTACTTGGCTCAACCACACGTGGAAAACCTACTCATGTTGCGAAGGAGCTGATCGCCTTGCAGCCAAAGCTGGTTGAGAAGAACAAGGAGGCAACAGACGCACAGGGCTTTATCGAGGCCGTCTATTGTGGTTAGTAGGGAAAAAGGGAGTATAACTATAGGGATATGTCGGCATTACATTCCCCTTCTTCCCTACCAACCACCAGTAGGTCTTATACAAAGTGTTGATCAAAAAGTGAGCCCATGGTTTGTTGGGTCCCGGAGTAAGTGTCCATTTTGGTAGCTTTAGAAAGAGTAGGTACAGGTTCATTAGGGAATGCCCCTTGCTCGAAAGCTGTCCCTGTCCTGTCCGCTCCCCGTGGACGAGCATGGAAGTTGTGCTAGTTGAAGTAAGGCTTTCGGAATCCTGCTGGATGTGTTAATGTGCCATAGAATGTCTCCAAAGAGGGGCAGATTGCAAATCCTGGCGCGTTGAGCTCTGTGGAAGAAGACGCTAGGATTCGCTGGTGGAGGGCGTTGGTTTGTCGGTTCCTGTTACCCTCGCTTGATGAGAGCCACACCCTGAACCCTAAATCCTAAACCCTAAAACCCCAAACCTTGATCCGAAACCTAGGGTTTAAAGCTCACCCCATGTCCTTGTGGGATACTGTCCCCTAAGGGTCCAAGTACCCAATAGTCATATACTTGACCAAAACCTGTATTATAAGTACTATTCCCCAAATCCCAAGTACCGAATTATTGGGTACATGGACCCTTAGGGGTCTGGGCCCCCTGATGCACGAAACTTGCAGGTTGGTGAGATGATGATCGTCGTGAACGAGGACGCTTCGTGTTTGCCAGGTGTCCATCTACACCTACCTGAACCCTCAAAAGTATGTAGAATATTGGCCCTTTGGTCTTTTTTTAGTGGATGTAGGGCTATTATTTTACATACTTTCGGGGTTCAGGTAGTTGGCAAATCCTCCATTTTCTGGGTTGCTGCTTAGGAATTTCAACTAAGTTGCTGTAATAAGGGAACCCCATGAATCGCTATAGACCTCTATTATGGTAACTTAACTTAAGTTCCTTAACAGCAACCCAGTTTTCCTTCAGAGAAGCAGCTAAGGAGCTGAGACTGGGCGTCTTTTGCACTCTCTCACGGCCCTGGTAGGATCTCAAGGCATGACCTGATCATGACCTGAGTATTTCTCAGCCGTCATACAGACAAACAGAGAAACTCTGCTACCTCAGCTGTGGAGGCGCTTGATCTTGACCACCCGGCCATGTCGGTTGAAATATGATCTCGATCCTTGTGAGCTCCGCCATGCTGTTCCTATGAAGCCTTAAACAGCGCCCCAACAGATGCCCGCCAAACGGTGCAAGAGGCACATATCTGGACTCTTCAACGTACTTCCTGTTATGGGCTCTGTGCATGTTTTGTTTAGGAAGGATTTAATCCTCCATGCCGTGTATTACTTGGAAAATCTGCAGCAAATCCCTGACGTTCAGCATGTGGCACGTCAGGAGTCAGCAAAGACAGAGAAGGTGAAGGAGGCGAGTGGCAAAGCCAGCGGCTATCAGAGTTGTTTCCTAGCGAGGCTTCAACTCTTCTTTGCCTCTGTAACCTTCAAGACTACATAGCCATGTCTCAGAGCAGAGATGTTCGAAGGAGGGCAGGATAGACCCCAAAGCTATAGCCGCAGTTGCACTCAAATCTGGAATCCTAAGTCCGTGGCAGGTGGTGGCAGCTGACGAGGCTGTCGCTAGTGAGGCGGCCGGGCAGGCCAACGCCATCAAAAAGGACTGCGATAGCTTTGTGACACTGTCTTAGTTGGGAGTCAGTCAGACAGGGGTGTTGGTCTTGAGCTATAAGCATGTGGGGCTTGAAGGCATCTAGAAAGGCCAGAGCGATGTAAACTCATTCCCGAGGAGGTTCCTACAAGGCAGAAGCAACATCTTGCATATTTAGAGAAGACAGGGCTGAGATGTGACGCTAATAGCCAGTCACTGCAGTTCAGCCCTCCAGCTGGAAATGCTACTCGTGTTACATTTGGCTTTGGGAAATCAATTTTACCAGCATCTGTGTGTAGTCGTCATCAAACGATTACAAATAAACCGCCAGGCTGTCCCACAATGAATAATGAGTTCGCCGATTTAGCTGTACGGTGTCGCGACTAATCCTCCAACGGCTATGAATCCAAGGTAGGAACCTGTTTTTGTTTTGTGACAGCCCCTCAGATCTAAGTCGTGGATTTTGCTTGAAAAGCCTAGTGCACGTCCCCCGAACTGGGCTTTCGCACATCTCCCATCCTCCTATGTACATATATCTCCAGGAAGTGTAATCAATGTCGGCAAACTTCTTTCAACCACTAGCAAACTTCTATGTCCTCATCCCCACTAATTGACTATGCCTCAAAATGGTCCCGACATGATTCCTTAGTTGGGAGCGCATAATCCTCTCATTACATTCCCACATAGCCTGAAGGCTTCCTATGGTATCCCTATCTTGACTCTAAATGCGAATCATAAGCCCTGACCCTCGTATGTCCTTACAGCCCCCCCCCCCCTAGTGTACCCTGAACCCTAAAGCCTCAACCCCAAAGCCCACTAGCCGCGGGTACCCGCTATTTCAAACATCTTCGACTTGATTTTGACAAACTCCCCTTTGAGTAGGGCCTTAATTTGGAGATCCTGTAGCCCACAGTATAGAGTAAGACTATATCATCCTTTTGGGTTTAGTATCTTACATAAAGACTATATAGTCTTACTTGGCTCAACCACCAAAAAAGCTAGAGTATCTCATGTAAGACCTAAACCTAAATCCTAAACCCAGCCCGCCCTAAGCACTGTAAGAATATACTCTTACCTGGCAAAACCACCAACTACGCGCTACTGGTTTGACTCCAGGAGTGCGAAGAAGCCCTGGCTGAAGCCATGTCCTGGCCTTGATGTGCTTACTTCCTTGGTGTTCTGAGTACGAGTCATGCTATTACTGTTATGTTTACTATTATACTTTATTGTGACTTATCAGATCCTTGGTTCCCTCATAATTCCCTTCCGAAGGTCTCTCTTGGGGGATGTGTCCTATCTGGCCCTAGGAACATGGCAGCCGCTACGTGTCAAAGCCTAACCGCCAAGCCTCTCCCAAACCTCCTGAACCTGTACCGTGGGGGGCCCAAATCAGTACCAATACTGTGATCCTAGGTTCCTTTGATAATTATTGTAGAGCTTAGCTCAAATGGACCTCAAGATGATATGTGTAATTACTTAGGCCTGTATAAGTAGACCCTAAACTCCACCACAGAAGCCACTCTGGGGTTACATTTAATCATGGTTGGGCCGAAATTGTTCCTGTAGCAGGTTAACACTAACCCCTCATGAGCAGAAGCATGGAGCAGCGCCCCTTGGCTCCAAGTACTGTAGAAGCCCGAATGATGCAAACAGTATGCCTTCACCCTACTATACGTCTAGTATAATATGCCCCAAGCGATATCCTGACTAGTTATTTGGGATCTTAAAGTGTAGTGTAATATACCTCAAATGATATCCTGACTAGTTTTTCGGGCTCTTATATTAGCATAGCAGACTGAGGCCGGCCTTGAACGAAGCACTGAAGGCCCTGGACACCCTTTCTGGCAAGGAGATCGCTGAGGTTAAGGCCAGAAATGAGTTGGTAGTACCCTGGGTTGCTTGAGAATGGGCATAACCCTGGAGCTCACATACCCTAATTAAACCCTCTAGAACCCATTGTAGTAGTTTCCATGTTCTTTTCCATTATCCCCATATACCCCCAATATAACCCAAATCTTACCCCAATGGGTATAGACCCTGGGCTAACTCATCTAACCTCTGGAGGCCTACTTGAGCCGCGCATCGCACAAGCCTACCTTCAACTCTTCAGTAAACACCAGACTTCTAAAGCATGGGACACACTAGTGGTCGGCTGAGTCTTCAGGAGTTCACCTGACGCCTCAGAGCGTCTGACTGGGGGTTTGTAAGGAATACGGGAGGTATCAATTATACAGGGGTTTTACCAAGGATTAAATTCACCCATAAATCTTGAAGATTGGAACATCAACCCACAAAGCCTCAACCTATCTTCAAACTGGCTGTTTATAGGGAGTGCAGGAATGCATCCCGGCGTGTCCAATTTCATCTCCTTGCCTTCATCCCCTACAAACAAGCGATCAACCTTGCCCAAAGGCCATGAAGAATCCAGCAGCGCCCGTTCGCCTTGTCCTGTCAGCCGTCTGCGTGCTGCGCAATGCCGGGGACTGGGTCAGAGTCAGTGTGAATGGGATAAGGCGGATAAGGACTCAGCAAGGGTCAAGGAATTGTGGACTTAATCCCTAAACTCTAAGCCTTCATGAAGGGTTCATAAGGCTTTGGCCTAAGGAGTTGGGAAGCTTGCAGCTTTGAATCACCATCATATCCAGAACTTCTGCGATTCTCTGAAGACGTTACGTAGGACCTTCAGGCGAACACCTAAGCAAGTGCGGCTCAGGTCAAGCCAGTTCGTGTCAAGGACGACACGGGAAAGATGGCTTGCGGCTTACGGCGGGTGTAGAGGGAATGGGGTCCTGCGGTGAAAGGAGTAAAAGGAGAATTCTGCTTGGATCATTGCATTCTGGGAGTGCGGAGTATGTGGAGCACCATACCTAGACACTCCATCTACAGTATGTACCCTAAATACTCACTGTTAGGGACCATATACCCCTACACCCCTATTTGAGGTTACCAGCAGGGTCCTGGTACTGACAATACAAAACAGCTAAGCAACAAAGTGGTCATCTCTCCGTTGTTTTTGAAAGCCTGTTACAAGTCATTCTGTGCAGTCAGTGGCCCTCAGAAATCTCAACTCTTATTGGTTAGCTAGGAATGAAGGACAGTAGTCCCTATATATCCCACTTTAGTAGTTTCCATCTCCTTTTCCAAACCCTCTAAACCTAAACCCTACGCCCATTATAGTAGTTTCCATGTCCTTTTCCATTCCTTTATCCCCAGCTAAGCAGAGGTAAGCTAAAAGCAAATGCAGAGCTCCCCAACTTCCTAAACTCTAAACCACATAAGAAAGCGGAAAGAAAGCGGCAGAAGCCAGCCTTTGTTCTCGCCGTCCTAAACCATCAAAAGTTCAAGCCTATAAAACCCAGTATAGCAGTGTCCATTTTCTTTTCCATTATCCGAATATAGCCCCAACATATACCCTATATTATGTTATAGTAGTTTCCATTTTGTTTTCCCTTCCTCTAAACCCTAAACCCCTTATATCTTCAACTCCACAGTCGCTGAGGTGGACGACTTTTGGCCGGCCGCTGTGAAGATGATTTCGGACATGGGCTTCCTGCAGTCTTTGCTCTGTCCTCAGTGACTTCCGGAGATTCTTACGGGCTTAGGCATTGGGTTATCTGTGGGTATTAGAGTTTAGGTTGTTTAGGACTTAGGTGATTCAGGGCTTAGGCTGTACAGGGCTTGATCTCAAAGCTGTTTCATTCAGGGTTTCAGGGTTTTAGGGTTTGGGTTACTTGGGGGCTTTAGAGCTTAACGAGGAACATCTACTATTCGATTACTCACACTTGTTAGGCACAGTGGTGGTTCGTGGTGGTGGCGACAGCGTAAGACTGACCTTGGGATGGGAGCTCAGTAGGAGGAGGAGGAGGAAATTAATGTGGGCCGTGCCAGATCACTTGAAGGGCTACATCGCGGCCACACTTCCAAGCACCCAGTCTTTGTCTTCTCCTCGAAAAATAAGCTACATGTCAAGAGACCCCCAAGGCTCCTCCCAAGTACGCGCCTGACACGACAAGCACGCGCTGTGTTCCCAGAGGTACCATGTAGGTGTATCCTGTAGTATATACCTTGGGCCCCAAGGCAATCATATGAGCTGTAGTCTTACTCCCTGAAGGGGTTATATACGGGATTATATTAGGACTACTATAGGGTTCTTAAGGGGGATACTAGGAGTTTAGACTATAGCTCATATCCCGGCCCCGTTAAGCCCTAAGTGCATATTACGCACCTACATGGGCTCTGGCCAGGCAGACTTTCGACAAGGACAATATTCCTCCGGCCCTTCTGGCTGTTTTGCTTCAGGATGCGACTGCTTCTTAAGAAGCTTAAGCTAAGTTACCATCATGGGGAAAGCACATCAACTATTCGCTACATAGCCACATTATGGTGACCTATTCTATCTAAGTTTCTGAACAGCAATCCAGGATGCCAGGATTTCCACATTAGGGACTGCCCCTCAAATACTGGTGTGCTTGTTATAAGGACCTCAAGCCCCGCGCCAACAGGTTTGTCAAAATCGGAAGCTTATCCAGATAGACTCCTGAGAGTTGACTCCATAGACGCGGTCTGTCCGTAATGCAAGACCTCCAAGAAGCAGCATGAAGCAGCATGTGTGCCCATGAAGACATGCTTGCTTTGAGCAAGACAGTACCGCCTTTGCTGGACCACATTTTCAGCAAAACTGGCTGGCTGCCAACGACGGCCATAGTCTTGAAATCAGAAGGCGGACGATGCACTTCAGAATTTGCAGATGCCAGGTCTTCATGCAACTTGAGAATGATATGGCAGTTCCCAATATAGGCCCCAAAATATTACAATACTCATCTTAGGGATCCCCAAAACGGTACCACTAATCTTGGCAAACCCCCATATCCTCCCATGGTATGATGCCTAGTTAGACGCCAATCCATGCCCATGTCAGGCAACCATCAAGAAGATCGCAGAGTACACTGTGAAGGATGACTTCCAGCCAGATCGCGTCAGAACCTGAGCTTCACCCACTGTTTGCTTAAGATTTGGGATTCAAACTGAGCTTTTTGGACTCCCTGGTATGAGGATGTATGCCCTACTGACCACAAGGTAGAGGGTTTAGCGGATCCGGAGTTTCTGCATGCTGGGCAGATCCAGGAAGCCCCGACCAGATGACTTTTGGCCTCTTCGCACCTATGTTTGCAAGAGCCGCAAGAGGTGATCCTCTTTTGTTGACCTTTTTCTTAGTGATGATGTCGTCATTCCTTTAAGCAGCCCCACTGATGATCAACGGCAGCACGCGTTTCAAGCATTCATCTCCCAAACCTAAAGCCCAAGACCCTGCAACTAATTAGGATGTTGCGTCAAGTCAACATGCCGATTTCCGAAGATTGGAGGTCCCATTTCGGGTATCTAAGATGTGGATTATAATGCATTGGGGTTTATATTGGGGCCCCCGTCACATAACACCCCAAGCACACCTGTCACTCCGAGGTGCTGAAGGTGTCCACAGCAGCATGGGGCCTGCTGCGCCTGTTTATCTCGCGTCTGTGAGCTTTCAGAACTGTATAGTGGCTTTCAAGTGGCGCGCTAGAGATTAGTTCATAGACTGTAGAAAGCGAGTAAGGTCTTCAGCTGCGTCATATGGACGAAGAGAAGGAATGCAGCGAGATCTAGGAATCGCGCTAATGCCCCAAAGGAAATAGGACCCCAAAATAAAGGATACCCTTCAATCTAAGACGAAAGCATGACTTTGTTTTGGTTGAGCCACCCAAAAGCGATACCTCTGTTTTGTCCTACGCAAAAACCCCCAAAAGCGATAGGACCCCTCAAGTCGTCCGTTGCATCGGATTAGACAGGGAGTTTCGGCAAATGCCTTATGGGTGCAACTACCTGATGCTATGCCAGCTATCTACATGCGTTGAAGGGTCTAGCATTATTATTGTTCTGCATTGCTATCATTATCTCACTTAAGTAATTTTTTCTAATCGTCAGTACTACCATTATTACTATGTGTTACTGTTACTATTATTCATATTATTAAGTTTTCCTACTGTTGTTATTATGATGTCTAGGTAGAAACTAGATTCAAAGCCTGGCAGGCCTTTGCATGTGGTGCCGGGCGATGGAGACGTACGACCGCGTTGCAAAGGTCTGGTGGGGTTGGTCTCAGTGCTTCTCATGTGAGCTCTAGGGGGGATGCTATAGTTCCCAATGTCGAGTAGGTTAAGAGATGTACACTTTGCTCATAAGAGCATTTAACGAGAAACATCTTCTGAGTTACAGTTGCAGGCTGTTCTAAGAAGCTGCACCCCTGCACGAAATCATCCTCACCAGGTGGAGTCCGAAAAGGGATGTTTGGGCTGCAAATAGCCCTATAGAACCTCTAATACAACCCCATATGACCCCTATGTAACCCACATATCTATACATAGCCCTATATGATGTGTGGTTTTTTTGTCGGTCCTAGGAGATATGTAGAAGATGGACACTGGATTCGTGACACAGCGCTCACTAAAAACGATAACAACAACATGTACACCGAAAATAGGAACACGATAACACACGCTCACCACACTTTCAGTGACCAGTTGCCCAGACAACAAATAAAAACCGTGCATCACATAATCCCTTTCAAGGGGCCCTATAACCCTAAACCCTGGTTTGTGCAACCTTCCATCTGGCTATCTAGCAAGGCCCTTGGCCTCCTCAGCGGGGCGCAAGATCTTAGCACCCAAAAGTCTACGCGGTGTAGGGTTTAGGTTCAGGGTTTAGGGTTAGGGAAACCTGCGCTACGTCCCTGATAAATCATATGTGGATTGTGTAGAATGTAGAGATTACCTTGGGTCTAGGGACATTGCCCCGATAATGAAGAAAGGAACGGAAAGGAGAATGAAACATGAAATGCAAATTGGGCTTCTGCAGAGTTTTCGGGAAAACCCTGAACCCCAAACCATAAAAATTGGTCCCAGGTTGCTTGCAGAAACATGGTATAGGGTACCCTGAATAGACGTCAAAACTATGTTGGTAGTTAGTGAGGCCCCTATAGTATTGTTGAGTCGACATGTCTCAGTTTCCGTTTCATGTGCAGTTCATGTTCCCATGTGCCTCCACTGATCTAAGAATCAAGTCCCTAAATTAGCCACCCAAAGCCCTATACATATAGTTTATATGCCCTCTCCATTCCTTACAAAGGAAAATTGAAAAAGGCTCCTACATACAATCCCTATGGCAAACCCTACCCATATAAGACGCCTTATGGGCTATAGGCTATAGTCTACACTCCTAGTATGCCCCTTACTAACCCCGATATGATCCCCTGTGTAACCCGCCTTAAGGAGTTTAGACCCTAAACCCTCCCTATACCCTACACCCTAAACCCTATGTAATCCCCAGTTAGCCAGTTAAGGAGCTTAAACTACAGCTCATGTTCTCTCAGTTTCCATGACTGTGTTAAGAGCCTGCGGCTCAGTCTGCCGCACCAGAAATCACATATTCCGTTATTCCCTACTACCCCCCAGTAAGTAAATCCTCCCCGCACCCTAAACTCGCCAGGTTGTTGCACCCAAGAAGGAGAGCCTGGCTGAGGCGGAGTCGTCTTACAACGCGCCTTGGAATAATAGCCCCACACCCTGTAAACCAGCCCAAAAGGCAATTATTCTACATACTTTGGGGGTTCAGGTAGCTGTAACGGGGGTTTGGGGCGTATATTACATGTTCTGCTTCTGTAATGGTTATAAGGGGAATATTCCTTGATGTTTAACAGCAGAATTGGAAGGGGTAAACATTGCTAGTTGGTTCGGTCATTTGTTGCATCGGGTGTCAATTCCCATGCTACTTGGAATGGCATATCAGGCAGCGGTGCACGGTTTGGGAAATATCTTCGGGAACCCTGCTTTGGAGAAGTTCAAGTCTTTGCACTTGTGCAGTCAGCCCCATAGACGACACTCTTTCGTGCAGCTTCGAGGCTATGATGGAGAAGCTCAATGCAAAGCGTTGGGCACTGAGACATTCTCAGGGCTGAGGCTTGGGATCCAAGATGCAGCTGTCTACGTATAGAAGTTTGATGGTGCACGAACTGACTGGGACTTTTGACCCCTAGGGTGCATGTTTTCACAGTAGCCTTGGGGTATACACTGAAAGGGCGAGAATATGAATGGCCTGTCGACTCACTCCGGAAGCTTTATAGACCCGGAACCAAGGAACCTAGTAGCAGAGTAGGGTTTAAGATTTAGGGTGTAGCGAAGTTTCAGGCGTATGAAGCAGCGCGGCAGTTTGAGCTTGTTGGAGCTTGGCTCAGGATGTTGTATAAGTGGTAGAAAGACACAGAGCGAAGTTCGAATGGTGTTCTGTAAGGAGAGAACCAAAAATTTCTGAGGCTGAAGAGACGAGACCTCTGAATTGTGGTTCTCGCTGCAAGCCGGCAGCAAACCCTCAGCACATACCTTCAAAGGCCAATTCTTCAATCTCCCTTCCTCAAGCCTCAAACCCTAAATCTTAAACCCCAAACTTCGTTGTCCTTGCAGTTGAAGTCCTCACAGCCTCAAGCTCTAAACGCAAAGCCAATCAACCAAGCCCTTAGCAGCATCAACAAGGTGCTGACCTCAAAAAGGTTGTGGACGAGTTGGATGCCCTGAACCAGAAGCTGAACTCTCTCAGGCCCCAAAGCCTTCGGGGGAGCATCGTATTCCAAGTTCGGTGTTGGAGTTTTCGTGGTCTTTTAAGAGTAACGCTGAAATCAGCATCCAGAAGATGATTGGGAGACTTTCCCCACCAGGGCTAGCTTGAAAAAAGGCCAGCCTCCCTGACTCTGGAGGAGGCAAGGTTGAATGAAGGTGCAAAGACTCGGTCCTCTAGCGCCGTTTTCTCAAACATGCGGGGTACTTTCAGGAATCCACGATTCAGGGAAAAAGTCTTGCGTGACCCTCGCTACGCTGTACAACCCTGATTCTGGGCTCAAAAAAAGCATATAGGATCACGCAGGGATTGTCAATGAGGTAGAGAGCTCTTCATAGGATCAGAGTTGAGACGCCATTGGGCAAACAGGAAGCTTCCTTCAGCTCATTGTTTGCTCGGTGCATGTGTTCACTCCCGTGCCAAATCTAGAGCCCGTCATAACGCCTACTGGGTCTCTGTGTGCTCCTGACGACATTGGGCTCCTTGACGTGTAAGAGACCTCGGGTTGCAATACATCCTCGTATTGGCTCCACCAAAGTGGCCACAACTTTGACACCCTAAACCCTAAGCCTTGTATAAACCTTAACTCAGTGAGTATTCTTGCAGGACAGAGCAGGACAACCTCACTGCGGAAGTCGATCTATGCCAGAAGAAGCTGGAGAGAGCCTCCCGCCACAGATGGGGATATCTCCGGGGAACATAGGGGTTGTGTTATAGGCTACAGGGATATATGTTGGTTATGGGTTCAAGGTCATTGTTTTACCGACAACAACATTTATGAGTTACAAGTGGCTCATTGGTTGTAGGTGTCCATCAGCTTTAGTCCATAGCTGGGATGTCCACACAACACGACAGACCCGGCCATCTACTCTGAACTACGCATAAGATGCTGTCTTGTCGCAATTCTTGTTTCAGTCTAGCACTGTGCAAATGAGTTCACCCAAGCTTTGCAATTCGCCTGGATTCAGGTAGTGGCAGTTCGTGTTGAACAAAGCTTGCACTCACCGTGAACCACCCTTGAACTCCCACCCCTCCAGAAAGAAACATCAGCTTACTCAACCTTCACTTAATGAGGGTTAGTAGGGATTATGGGAACATATATACAGAATATACTAGGACTGTACTCCCTAATTCCCTACTAAGGACCAGTTAGTAGACCCTAAACTCAGGCGGATCCATCATCCATCTACCCTCTATCTACCCAAATACCAACTCTTAGGGTTCATATACCCCTATTTAAGGGTACAAGGGCGCAGGACCCTAAGCCCTCTCATATTGGGCTTACATAGGGATTGTATTCCCTTATTCCCTGCTAAGAATCAGGAAGTAGACTTTAAACCCAAAACCCTAAACTCTAAACCCTAATTCCTAAACCCATAAGCAGACCCTAAACCCATAAGCAGACACCCATAAGAAGACCCTAAACCCATAAACAGATTCGTCTAAACCCAGAAGCAGACCATAAGCAGACTAAAAGCCCATAAGCAGACCCTAAACCCAGGCTGAGACCTTGATCACCTCTTTGGGCGGTGAGAAAACCCGGTGGACCCAGAACGCAATCGACCTCGCAGATTGGGCCTTAGACATGCCTTGGGCTTCCAGGGGTTTAGGCGTTTGTGGCTTGGCGTTATATAGGGCTATATTAGGATAATGGAAAATAGAACGGAAACTACTATTCAGGGGTTTGTCATTTGGGAGATTGGGGGATCAGGGTTTAGGAGATTAGGGAATTAGGGTCTAGGGGTTTAAGGGTTTGCGGAGTATACTGCATATTTGGAGATTGTACACAAAGAGGATTAGTTTTTGAGTGGTAATTTTGAATTGTGGGCGGGGTCTTTAGTTGTGGCATCGTGGCTTTGCAAGCCTTTTTGTTGGACCGAGAGGGATCCAAATGGCCCAATGTAGGCATTATTTACACATTTTAGGGCCCAATGTAGGTAATGTAGACCCAGGATTAATACAGAAACTCCTTTTAAGGTCAAAAAAATTAGGATCCCTATTATAATCCCTATTAAGGGGAGGTCAGGGTCATTATTTGCACACTTGAATTCCTAGGGCTACGCAATTCAGTCAATTCAGCTGACGTGATTGCTTCCACGGCGAAGTCGTTCGGCTTCAGGCCGACTATGTGAACCTCACTGGCGATGCCCGCTCTGCATGTTTGAGGGTTTGGGAGATTAGGGGAGCAGGGTTTAGGGGCTGCGGATGCAGCGGCTATCCTCAGGTTTGTTCTTGCGGTGTTTGGTTGTGCATATAGGCAAGGGTAAGGGCTACCAAGTTTTTCAGTCCGAATACCGCGGCCTCAGCCCTGTAGGGGATTTGTCTGGCTAAGAGGAGCATGGGACTATGTTATTCATCAACCATCCAAACTGCTCTGTGTGCAAGCATCTGATCACAAGAACCTGGACAGGAGTGAACAACAGCAAGAGTCCGAGTCTTTATTTTGAGCAGTGGAGTTTCTCATTGTCTTCGTATGCGATGGTATAATCACTTCTAAGCAACCTGGGAAGACCAACGCCAGTCAGATTACTTATCATCTTTATTGCTGTCACTACTGTTATTCTTCATTATTATCACTATTATGACAGTACGGTTATTCTCATACTATTATCATTATTGTGATCATTAGTAGTATTATGGGTTGCTTTGGCCTGCCAGGTCATCGTGGCTTCTGGCCTCATTGCGTACCTGGGGGCCTTTACGCCGGACTTCCGTGAGGGGGCGGTCTCGCAGGAAGCTCAGCTCAGCCTGCTTGATAGTATATTCTGGTATGATATTGTATATTCTCGTATAATATGTTATAATACAGTAGAATATGATATATTACAGGTTTTGTTGTTCTCCGCGCCTGTTTAATACTAATGTGGCCGTCAAACAGTTTTTTAAGCCATATAGTTCATGGAAGCATCGTCCCCGTGTGGAGACCCCAGAAGCTTTAGTTAGCATTATTATTCTCATGGTAACTATGATTGTCGTCGTTGTTGTTGTCAGGAGTATTGGTATTATCTTGTTTTTTTTTTTTTTTTTTT